GGCCAGGCTTCTGTGACTTGTGTGGTGGAAGAGCAGGGCTGGGTTCAACCCCCTACCCCCTTCAGATACCGCCTGCTGGGGTCTGCTTAGCCTAACCCATCAAAAATGCAGGATCTGCAGAGAGTGGAAAACGGAACCAGATGGTGACAAATCTTACACGTGTGGCTGCTTCCGCGCCAGACCCTGACTCACAGCGGCGCTGAAGGCACAAGGGGGAAGCACAGCACAGCCGCACCCCATCACCCGGGCACAGGGCAGGGAGGCCCAGGACCAGGTAGGCAGAGCCAGTCACAGGGAAAGTCACCCCTGGGGAGGCTGGTGGTCTGGGATCCAGAGGAGCAGTGGCACACAGTCCCACTAAAAAGCAGGAATTCACTTTGCTGACTCCATCCCTGCGGCCCACAACCCCTCCAGGGCCCACAAAGAACCGGCCCCACCCCAGACCCCTAGATACCTCCCAGGTGCAGAGAGTTAGTGGCTCAGAAGAGCAGCCTTTTAGATCATAGCTGCCACCTGGACACATCCCCCACCTGGGACTCTCTGGTCTGGCAGCATCCCAGGTGAGCTGCCCCAGCTCCAGGGGAAACTTTGCAGGGAGGACTGGGCCTCCCCATATCCTCTATTTCCAACCCCAAACATCCTGAAGACTAGCTGGATCATTCATTCTCTTTGCTGGCCAGGGGCCCAGCTCTTTCATTCAGGTTTACAGTGTTTGAATAGTCTTGAGGCAATGCCACCTTCTCCAGGAAGCCTTCCCAGATGCTCTAACCAAAATAAGTGGGCCCTTCTGCTGCTTCCTGTCCCAGGATTATAATTTGACTGCTTTTATGCCTGGGTCCCCATTAGCCAAGAACTCATCCTATAAAGAAGCGCTGCTTCTTCATTCCTGCACCTCTCTCTTCCCCACCGTACTCCCAGTCCTCCTCCTCTCTGTAAGACACACACAGGGTCCTCCAGAAAAGTGGGTGGGAAGAAAGACAAAGTGCCTGTACTCCAGTGTTAAGCATGGATTAACCACAGTACACAGAACCCTCCATGTCTGTCCCAGGGGCCCATAGGTGAGTAACCCCATTGGATGGCAAAAGTAGAAAGGGGTGATGGTTGCTGTTCCCCAGTGCAGGTGCCCACTGGAAATGAGGATTGAGCCACCAATTTAGACACCAGATTTCTCATCAGAGCAGCAAAGATGCCAAACAACTGCACATCCTTGCCCACGCCGAGGGGCTTTTGTTCAGACCACCTTACAACTGGAAGGTTTTCTCAGCCCTGAGGGTCATGCTCAAGGACTGATCTCACTCTTCCCTGAACCTATAGCCAAGCCCAGGCCTTGCAGAGAGCTGGCCCCCGGTTCTCACCAGGGAGGGAGAGTTCAACAATAGGTTTACAGGGGCCTGGCAAATATCTACTCATCCTTCAAGGCCCAATTCAAATCTCACCTTCTCTGATTCTCACTTACTGAGTGTCCATCCTCACCACATTCTGGAAAGCCAATGAGTGGGTGCTAGAAGTCAAGGACAGGGACCGACCCTCTACAAAGCAGGCATAAAACATCTGCGTACACACCTTGGAAGACTGAAGGGAGGGAAGGGCTTGACTTAGAAGGCCTTGCACTGATACACGCTGTCTGCTTTATCTCGCGATAGCCTCCCTTTAACTCCATTTCCTCATCTACAAAAGGAATTAATGCACGCACAGGGCAGTGTTGTGGGGTGCCTGACTGTGGGAAGGACTTGTTACCATTATTCTCCATACTTGTGCTACTTTGGGGACCAACAGATGGCATAATAGTTAACATTTCTGAAGTCCCATGTAGTGACTGTGGTTTGAGCCCTTGACCCAGCGGCTTAAAACTCATGCTGGGTGCATGTGCGTGCATGCTCAAAATCCTGAGAGGAGAATGGAGGAGAAGGGACTGCAGCATGGCCATCCTCCCTGGAGGGCGATTTCTCGCTTTCTGTTTCTCTGTCTCTCTCTGTCTCTTCGGCAAGTGCATGCATCCTATAGCAAAAATCTCTCTTAAAAAATGTATTTGTGCTTTTATTTTCTTATGATGTCCCTGTGGCCCTTGTCCATGGTCAGCACTCAGGACACAAGTTTTGGAATGAATGATTTTGGCATCTGAGATGTCAGAGAGATGGGGTTAAAATCCAAAGTCCACTTAGAGATACAGAGTACCCTCTTTATCATCAGAAATACTACACCCTGGCCTTTGGGTCCAAAGATGAGCTCAGCTGGCTCCCCAGGGACCAGCCCCTGCTGTCGTGGAACACAGGGCAGCTTCCTGGAGTGGGTTGGGAGGGAAGAGAACCCTGCCTGGAGAGACTTCTGTGCTGGGCTGAGTGCTGGCAGCACCAAGGGACAGGTCTCTGGGAGGTCAGCCCAAGGGCTCAGCCTCTGGCCTAGAGGGGAGGCATTTGGATACTGGACTTCAGGACTGACCTCTGGAGACAGCCAGAGCACAGGGAGTGACTGGTTGGCAGCAGCCCAGCCCAGGGTTCAGCTCAGTGAGGTCCCTTTCTGACCCCCAAATGCAGGGGACCCAACGAGCCACTCCTGGGGTCTCAGTTTTTACCAGCTACAGAATGAGCCTCCCAAAGCCATTCATGGGCCTCTGAGACCTGCCCCAGCTCCTGAAATGTCACACAGAATTGACTTGCATCTGCCAGGGAGCATGAAGGGCAACCCCTCTTTGGACAAATGAGAAGAGCAAAGCCCAGACATGGGGAGTGACTTGCCCAGTCACATGGCTAATGAGAACATTTACTTGGAAGTCACCGGAAGTCAGCATCATCGGGGCTTGCCCAGCCCCAGGCCTCCTCTACCAAGAGCCAGGCCCAGTGACCAGGGCACGGACTGTCCCTAGGTATACTGTATATCATGCTTCATGGGGTGCTGGGCCAGGGTCCTCTATGGCCCTGGTCCCTGCAGCATCACGGGAGCAGTCCCCACTCATCAGTGAGCTGCTGAGCTGGTTCAGTGATGGGGAGGCTGTCGGGAGCAAAGGGAGTGGACTACTCATCCACTCACCTTGGTTTAGGTCCCCAGCACTTTCGCAGCACGTCTCCTCTGGGCCTCACCTCCGGAGGGCAGTTGGAGAAGCGGGAGCCCCAGGCCTGTCACGGAAAAGCTCACAGTCTCCTTGAGTAATGACTTCAGAAGGAACCCACCACGCAGTTGAGTGAGGCTGCCAGCGTGTGCCTTCCGTCTCTCACTCATGTGGACACTGCATCCCCAGGCAGGATTTTACATCGCCTGTGACTTTCAACCACCAACCTGTGGTCATAGCACAGTGCTGGCCAAGGCTGGCCAAGGGCTTCTGTGGTCCGGAACTGCAGAGCCAGGGTGGGCCCAGCAGGGCCTCACCCTGGAATCCAGACACGGGATCCAGACACAGTCTTGGAATTTGGCCGACCTTATAACCTGGGTTTCTCAAAGCCTGCTCCATAGAACCCTTGTGGGTCACCCAGAGAGTGTGGGAAAGATGCAGGTCCTGGGCCCCTTCCAGAGAGGCGGGTCCTGCACGTCTAACGAGCTGCTAAGGCAGTTCTAGCACACCTCAGCTTCGAGAATCTAATACTGCCTCAATCGGGCTTCTCAAGGGGGGTGGGGAGGCTAATGCCTTCAATAGTGGGAAAATTGCCTCTTGGGACGGTAAAAAATAAATAAAATTGTTACATATAAAGCGTAGCTATATAGTATATAAACAGTTTAACTGCGGAATTAAAAATTCATGGGTAGGGTGTGGCAGGTGGCGTGGTGGTTAAGGCTCTGGACTCCCACATTGCTAGGTTGAAGCCCTGGACCTTGCAGCTTGCTTTCTCACCTCCCCTCTTTCTCTCCAGAAAAATTAGAAAATAATTCTAATAAATAAAACTAGATAAATAATCCTTTTTTAAATTTCCATGGGGGGAATGATTAGAGGTAAGAATGGCTCCTTGTTGGGTGACAATGGACGACAGGCCACCTAGACTGAGGTGGCTGTTATATCAGCAGCAAGTGGGCTAACAGGAAGGGCCCCCTCCTATCCTATCCCCATCCGACTCACCCCGCTCTTACAGCCGAAGGACAGAGGGGCACCGGCGTCTCTTCTCAGCACACATCAGCTCGTGCCTGATGTCTCTGGCCGAGTAGAGACTATGGAAAGCGCTGCCCACAAGCTGCCATGGAAGCTCATGAGGGCCTGGCACACCAAAGACAGAGCAGCAAGGGGACAAGAGCCAGCCCCAGGTGACAGTGAGGAATAAAGAAACCACCCCATGGCTCTCTGGTTTGCAAGATGGAGCCACTACCAGGCATGGGGGGGTGTGACCCAGCATCTGGGAGGAGGGAGAGGTGCCTAAGAAAGGGACAGCGCAGAGTAACCAGGAAGAGCAGCTGGCTTTGGGAGGGGCAACAGGTAGGAGACACGGCAGGGTGTCACAGCAGTAGTTAACTGCCGGAGCCCTGGCCACACATGGGAACACACCAACACGGGCTGCAGGGAGGCAGGCCACTTACTATCACTGGCATGTCAGAGGCCACGGCTGCCTCAGGCACGACTGCCATCCCCAGCTCCGAGGACACTCAATACAAGCAAAGTTAATAAATCCCATTTCATTTGCCTGAGGAAAAGACATGCAGGGACGTTAACTCATCCAAATTCTCACAGCAAGTGTAGGGTGGAGGCACCCCTCCACTAGCCAGTTACACCCCAGCCACCAGCCTCCAGAGCCCGCCTTCCTCACCCCTGCTCTTGTCTGGGCTCAGAGATCCCGGCCAGGAAGGCTGTGGTCCAGGTGGCTTCACTGATGGTGAGGATAACGAGCAGGGCGCCGTCCCGCCTCAGTGCGAGCCACACCTGGCAGAGCGTGAGCCGGGGCAGCGGGCGCATGCACGCTCTCTCTGACTCGGCCCACTGCACCATGGGCCCGCAGGAGTCCCACACATAGAGGAGCCAAGGAGAAAACCATGTGAGCCGAAAGCAGGGGGACGCAGAGCTGGGGGAGAGTCTTGTCCCTTACCAATCCATCACAGTTGCTGATGGCAACAGCTGCCCCAGGCATTCCAGTGACGCCTCCAGTGTACACACACTCCTGCTGCAAGGGCTGCCGGAACAGCTCCCGAAAATCCTCCTGCCACTCCACGGAGGCTCCTGGCACCACCAACCTCCTGTTGGGCCGCAGGCGCAAGTGCAGTTCCTTCCCAAAGACAGTAACGTTGAAGTAAAGGGAGTAGCGGCCCGCCCTGCCAGGCTGCAGGGTCCCTCCTTCAGGGCGCAGGGGGCTCCGAGCCACCCGGGGGTGACTGGAGTGTGCTGGTAGTACAGGTGGCTTGTCCACTCCCACACTCCCTGGGGAGGCTGCTGCTAGGCCAGACACCACATGGGAAATGAAGTGCCCCCGAAAATCTGTGCTGCAGGGCACTGTCACGCCGTAGTCACTGAGCTTTCCAGAGAGGCGCAGCTCTGCGGGAGGTAAGCCAAGAGTCACTCAATGCAGTCTGCAGAGAAGGGGAAGTCAGAAATCCCAGGGGGGCAGGGAGGGATCGGAAACCAAGTCCATCCCCTTTCCACCCAATGCTTCCTGAGCACCTGGATGCCTACACTTGGATGAACGGTGTTCGGGTACTTTGTGGACAGAAACCACTCCCTATGGTCCCTTAGCCCGCTCTAAACTTAGCAGAAGAAAATTAACGGTGCTCCACAGAGGAGCGTCCCTCTAGCAGCAAGCTGTCCAACCTTGGAAACTGCCTCGGAGAGAAGTGACATTCCCGAAAGCCCCCAGGGCAGAGAGGGAAGGCCAGACCCACCTGCCCGAACTGCCCCCTCCATATGCTGAAGTCACCAGCCCAGCCTAGGGGAGGCCCTCCTTGCCAAGCTCCCAAGAATGCAGCTGGCAAAACAAACACACCTAGAAACCCAGGGGATCGTGGGCATGTGTCACAGAGAAAGGTGGGGCTGGAGGGAGGAGGAAGGGGAAGGCATAATTCCCTCTTTTTCCAAAATTAGAAACAAAACTTTTTAAAACGGCACAGTGGCTGTGGAGATTGCTGCATAGCCTTTCCCCAAGCTGAGTAAATATAGATCTTCAAAAATAAAAGGAGATGCAGGGGGTGACCTGCCCACTGGGCTGAATTAAGTGTGAGGTCATGGCCCCAAGCTCCAGGCCGCATGCCAGCAGCCCCATCCTCACATGGCTCTCCCCAGCCCAGCCCAGCCAGGCAGGAATGACAGCTCCCTGGCGTCCAGGCCTGGTGATTCATGGATACGAGTTGGAGAGGAATTTTCATTTCCACACAGCTCTATCTTTCTCCTTCCCAGTTCAAAGTCCTGATAGAACACAGAAAACAATGTTTCCTGAAAATCTCCCATGCCCAGGGGAGCCCTAAGTGGGGAGCGCTCACTCTTTGGTTTCACCCATCAGAGCAGGGGATCCCAAGACCTCTGCAAGAGGGGTCTCACTCTGACACCTGAGCAGGGATGGCAGAAAAAAGAAGATGGAAGGCTTCTCCTCGCTGAGAGCGGGGAGGGTGCCCCATGCTGCATGCAAGGTGAGGAGAGTGTCTGGGCCGGATAGGAGAGGGTTCTGCAGAGTTGGAGGATGCTATGCCCGGGCGGGCGGGCGGTAAGAGGGATCTGCGGAGGAGAGTCCCAGTTCTCTGTGGTGGGTGGCGATCACCTGCTAGCCTGATTCTGTACATGCATAATAGAGACCGAGAAGCCAGAAGGACGCACAGGTGATGTGGACGGGAGGTGGGAGTGGGACAAAGACAGAGCAGAATACCCCTAAGAGATCAGGGGTATTCTAATCCTCTCCTGGGGTCTCTTCTGCTTCTAGTGCCAGAAAGGGAGAGGATTCACCGGACAGCGGCGCTGGCACTCAGGGAAGGAGAGAGGGCTCAGCCCCAAGCGTGCGCACCACTTCCCGCCTGCTCACACCCTGCCACAGCCACTTGGGCACGCTCGGCCGCCCTGATCGCGTGCACCCTGGACTCCCAAGCGCCCGACCCGCACGCACCTGGGGTCCGGCCGCGCGCGGCGGCGCAGAGTGCACAGCGCAAGAGCAGCAGGCAAGACAGCAGCGCGCCGAGCAGGGCCATGTGGCTGCGCGGGGACGCCGGCCGGGTGGCCAGAGCCCTTGGCTGACAGAGAGGCTGAGGCGCGCCCCGGCTGCCCGAGCGCGAGCTGGCCTCCGCC